AGGCGAGCTTAAAAGGAAGATGGAAACTAGTTGTGTAGAAGCAAACTTATTCTATGTTTGTCATCATGAAAATAGGTGAGTTAAAAGGAAAATGGAAACTAGTTGTGAGAAGCAAACTTATTCTATGTGTGTCATCATGAAAATATCCGAGCTTTAAGAATATCCCAAAAATACAATTAAAAATTAAACCAAAGCATTTATTTGCTAATCCTACTTTTCACTTTTCAGCATTATGTAAATAAAGCAATTGTCTTTTAATTTTTCGAGTTTTCCTGCAGCAGTGTGAGTGAATATTTATACAATTCTAGTCCCTAGGGAGAATCACTGAGAAATCTGTAGCGGACAATTTATACGTCTCTCAGAACACTATCAGATCCACACAAAAACTTTTACGTAAATCATTTTAAATAAATTTATTCTCAAAATCCTTTACCTTTCATACGTTCACGGTTATAATGGAATAGTAACGTAGGCCAGGTATTTCATGTTGTGAACTTTGAATTAGAGGATAATGTAGCATTATATTTCAAAGGTATCCATATCAGTCTTTCTTTAAGTACATCATATAACGAGTATTATTTCATGTGTGACTTCTATTGGTTAGAACTGTTATTTTTGTTAAAAAACAGGATAAGACTTTATTTCTCAAATAATACATGGTATTCTGAATCGCTTCCAGTCACCGAAACTACAATTACTTCTGGGTGGGAGTCATTGGACCTCATATAGGCGCCATAATCGGCGGCTGGCTGTACTACCTTGGTGTGGAACTGCATTGGCCTGATGAGGAAGAAGAGGAAGAAACAGTCGAAAAAGAAGCTAAAGAATTGATAGATCATACAGAACAACAAAACAGTGAGAAGTTTTAAATATAGAAATTAAGATCTTAAAATAAAACTGAAAAAAAAAACAATTAAACTATCTTTCTTTGGTATCTACATATCTTATTGGAAAACAATCTAAATTATATAAATAGTGGATTATTTGTGAACTCTAACTTATTTGTTAACATCAATACATGTGATTTTCTTAGTTTCAGGGTTTTATTTTATTTTAAATTTTCTCATTTAAAATCTATTTTTAATGTGACCGGCATGGCCAGGTGGTTAGGGCGCTCAACTCGCGATCCGAGGGTCGCGGGTTCGAATCCCCGTCACACCAAACATGCTTGCCCTTTCAGCCGTGGGGGCGTTATAATGTGACAGTCAATCCCACTATTCATGGGTAAAAGAGTAGCCCAAGAGTTGGCGGTGGGTCTAGTCTTACACTGCTAAATTAGGGTGGGTTGGGGGAGATAGCCCTCGTGTAGCTTTGCGCGAAATTCTAAACAAACAAATTATTTTTAATACATTTTTTAATTTACCGTTAATTGCTTGTTATGCTCTAATTATCCGAGAGTAAAATTATGAACAGTTACATGTTCTTCTTAATTACTAAGCGTAATAGTGTTTATTACCCCAAACAGTGAAAATTATATAGAATGTAGTTACATTATCTATTACTGCTTATAGTTCTTCAACTTGTCTACTGTCAAGCCTTTAAAACATTAAAAAGTTAAACAGCTATGTGTAGAAACTGATTTACTTTTTTTTTCAGATCGTTGGGACCGGTATTTTAATGTTCATGTGACAGCATACGCAACTTGGTGCAGAAACTGATGTCATTTCTATTCCAGATTGTTGGGACCGGTATTCTACTGTTCACTGTTTTAGCATTTATTTTATTTTCAGTTTCCTCGACCTCATTAGAAATGGTAATGAAGAATACATACCCCCTATTTAATTTACCGAATAAATTAATATCCCAAAGTCTTTCTATGTTTTGTTTGTTTGTTTGTTTTGAATTTCGCGCAAAGCTACACGAGGGCTATCTGCGCTAGCCGTCCCTAATTTAGCAGTGTAAGACTAGAGGGAAGGCAGCTAGTCATCACCACCCACCGCCAACTCTTGGGCTACTCTTTTACCAACGAATAGTGGGATTGACCGTCACATTATAACGCCCCCACGGCTAAAAGGGCGAGCATATTTGGTGTGACGGGGATTCGAACCCGCGACCCTCAGATTGCGAGTCGAGCGCCTTAACCACCTGGCCATGCCGGGCCTTTTTCTATGTTTTAATCACTTGTATGACCTGCTGAAAAACATGATTTTATGATCTACTTAGATGAGACCAGAGCTGATAAAATTGCCGCACAATGTTCGAAATAACATCATTAAATTTTCCTACAATACTTTACATGAACCATTCAGCTTACAGTTTTATTTGCGAGATCCATTTTGTATAAAACAAAATAATTATTCCTCCCTGATGATTAAATTATTTTCTACTTATCTTAAACAAATATAGATTTGATTTCTCATAGCAATACCACTCACCGAGAAGCGCAAAAAAATCTGATATGAAAAACATGAAGCCAAAAATAGACTACTTGTAAACCTCGAACTATGTTATAATATTTGGCCGATTTAATAATAATTTTGTATAGTTGGCTTAAGTTGACTTTGATTCAAGTTCTTTGATTCGTTTAAGGATCGTTTTCACGTTAGAACATAAGAGTAGTAAACAAATAATTTTATTCAAAGCGTAAAGAATTCCTTTGTAAAATAGAAGTAGCTTCATTCACACACTCACCTGGTCTAAGAAGCAGTTCGCAGTAGACACGTACTCCTTGGGATATGTAGCCCAGATGAAAGCTGTCCCTGTTGGGCCTAGAACTGTTCTGTTGCCTCCATCAAACCAGCTGAGTGCGTCTGTAAATTAAGTTAATTAGTGTTCCTTTTCTCAAGTACAATTTATACATACTAAATCGTTAAAATCAACATGCACTTTTACGTTTTCACAATGAGAAACGTTACGCCAGGTCAACGAAGTCGAGATATTCATGTTTTATGTTAAAGTTTATTTTCCTAATCAGCCTCATGTTAATATTTTTTCCACGTGTTAAGTGTTAAAATTTACAAAACACATCCACCAACTTTTTAAAATCCATTTTATTTAAGAACCAAATCATAAAATAAAATTTTATATGATAGTTGTTAATTGTTCCATTCAGATGTAACCTTGAATAGCTTACCTTTTTTCATATTTAAACGAGCTTACATAGCTTTGTCAATCACTGCTTCCATTTGTTTCACATTTAAAACAATAATCAATTATATCAATTGTGCCAGTCTAAATCTACGTTTTACATCATAAATAACTAGACAGCTATTTTAGTGCAAGTTCTGATCGATAAACAATACACACAACTTTGAACATGAAGAACATTTTCTCTTTGACATAGAAACAAATCAGAATGTTATTTTATTGTCTAACGTACTAAGCTTGCTTGTTCTCGCGCATAAAATGGAATGGATAAGACAAGTACTTGGGTATATCAACGGCATATCATATGGGTTATAACACTAAAATCGAACTTTGATACCTGGAGTGGACAGAGCACAAGTAGCTTTATGCTTAACAACTCAGATAAGACAAAAAACATTGAACTGGGAAGAGTGAGATTTTCTATTTACATAAAAAGTGGTGTTCATAAAGAGGACATACTGTTACTTCTCCCTTTAAAAAAAGTTCAGTTTTATTTTACTTTAGCTCTTTATATCAATTTAGTTTACTTTTTTGTTTTTCTCCTTATCAATTTATTTTCCAAGTCTAAGATAAACCTACTTGTATTTTTGTGTGAATACAATATCAAGAAGTTTATAAAACAGAATATAAGCTGTACTTTAGAATCGCAATTAATTCTGTTTTGCTTATATTTGTATTTACAAATCTTTATGGACATTAGGAAACGTATATGAACACCTTTATTCAAGATACTGAGGGAATCTAGCTTCAATATTCTGTATTAAATATTTCATGAGATATTTATATAGAGTGAATAAAATTAACATACTGACCAATATAATTGAAGTATATGATGGCCGAAGCTACGAATGCTCCCAGATGTTGAGCCACAAGATACACGGGTACCTTTTTCCAAGGAAATTTTCCAAGAGTTGCAAATGCTACAGTAACTGCAGGATTAATGTGGCCACCTAGTGAAAGCAAAGAAAACAAATCTAAGTGAAAGAGCTTATTTCGTTTCTTCCGTTGTTTTTCGTTGTTGCGACAAAAGAAATGGTTTGTTTGTTTTGAATATCGCGCAAAGCTACACGATGGCTATCTGGGAATTCGAACCCGCGACCCTCAGATGGCCAGTCGAGCACCCTAACCACCTGGCCATGCCGGGACTGAAAAAAAACGGAAAATAGAATAAATACAAGAATAATAATAATTCCTGTTTAACGGTTTATAATTAGAAGACCTTTTTTTTTAAAATGACTGGGTGTTATTCAAGGAATCTGTAGGTTGTCGGAAAAGACTGGAACTATAAGCATTTCAACGAATTTTACAGAATTTGTTCGACATGCTTTCCTTGTAATTCGAAACAAGTTTGAATTTAACAGAAGGATCAACTGGACCTTCTCATGCTTTGACAACGCCATAATCAGTCACGTATCTGAAATTAAGAAAAGCTGCAAATCACCTATGGTTTCAGAATTTTCGGACAACATGTAGTTCGTTTGATCACATATTTGACTGAGGGCGCTTTATTCACTTGTTTTGCTGAAACTAGTCAGTTTACACACATGAAGAAGAAAAATCTGAAATTTGCATACAGTGACAGAAGTTATATTAATACTACTGTAAACCATGACATTAGATACTTTTACATTACATAACACTTGTAAACACTAAATGCAACTTTTCATGTTTTTACATACCTGAAACTCCCATAGCCGTAGCCAAACCCATCATTACTCCAACACCCCATGCGAAAACAACAGCAAATACGTCATCCACACCTCTCTTTTCCAAGACAGTTTGAGCAAAAGCCGCATCTCCGAACAACTGGAAGAGATAACATGGCAACTCGAGTAAATAGTAACTAGTAAGAGATAACATGGTAACTCATGCAAATAGTAACTAGGAAGAGATAACATGGCAACTCGGGTAAATGGTAATTAGGAAGAGATAACATGGCAATTCGAGTAAATAGTAACTAGGAAGAGCTAACATGGCAACTCGAGTAAACAGTAATTAGGAAGAGATAACATGGCAATTCAAGTAAATGGTAATTAGGAAGAGATAACATGGTAACTTGAGTAAATGGTAATTAGGAAGAGATAACATGGTAACTTGAGTAAATAGTAATTAGAAAAGTGGTGTGAATTATTAATTTCTGCATTTAGCTCGATACTTTACTTTTGTTTTTTCAAACTTGTAGCTTATTTTGTTAGTCAGTTTCATTATTGAAGGTTTTGTTTTTAATTTTTCGTTTGTTTTGTTTAACTGCGCGCAAAGATTCTCGAGGGTTATTTGTGTTAGGAGTCCCTGCTTTTGAAATGATAGACTAAGGGTAAAACATCTGGTCAACACCACCCACCGCTAGCTTTTGAGTTGCCTTTTGACCAATGAGAAGTGAAGCAGACCATCATATGATAATGCCCACACCGCTGAAAGGCGAACATGTTCCGTGATGACATTCGAATCTATGACCCACAATTTGCAAATCGAACACCCTAACCACCCGGTCAGGCCAGGCCTTTGCGTATTTGAAGAAGATAAGTTTTTTCACTAAATATATGTTTTATTTATTTTAAATACTGTGAATACAAAACCTATATATTCAATGATAAAAGGACATCACCTGCCTTGGAGTTTATAAAGGTTGATCTTTAGCATCTTTAAGACTCAAAATGATTTAAACTCATATTGGGTACCTGAAAAGATTAAAATGTTATCATTGTGTATAGCCCGCCATT